GCTTTTAGGGTTTTGGTGGTGGCCGGATTTATTAGGGTTTTTCGCTCAGAGAGTCTTATCGTGCTGATAACGTGTTGTGAAAACTTAGAAACTTTATTAATCACTGGAATGTATATATAGAGTACATAGGGAATCTAGGTTAAGTACAATGCCCTGATAGACCTAATGGGCCGGTATAAGAGTCCATATATGATATGTGTTATAACATTACATAATTTCTCTAGGAAAATTTCCTAAATAATATAATATACATAAATTTGAAACAGAAAATTTACTATTTTAAAAAATATATATATATATATTATATATATTAATATCAACTAAATAATTTCTTAAACTCTTCTTATTCCCTATTTTTACTTTAATTTGCTTGCCATTTATGAATTTGTGCTTTTTTTTTTACCTATAATTTTCTTAATACAGCTCTGAAACACAAATTAAGAGAAACTCATTATGAATCTTTTATTTTCTCTCTTCGCAAACTCAATACAATAAAAATAAATCGAGTAGTTTTAACAAAGAAAGGAAAGGAACGTAAATAGAAATAATGATTAGGTTAAATAAACGACGACATGATGGCATGATATAAGGACAAGGGAGGATAGGCTTGAGATAGAGACCGATCGAGTAGAGACGAGAAGAGCTACAAGATCCAAAGAAACCAGCAAATTCACGTCGGTCAAGCATCCCCGAATGAAACTCTCAGCTTATTCTCCCGAATCTGATATGAGTTGTCGAGCGAAACGCTTCATGTGTCCTTTGTTGTGTGAAACGTGAGGGACGTAAGAATAGCCAGGTCTGAGTCTTGAGGAACCGAAAAAAAAAACCTGATTTCCTCTCTGTTCTCTCTTTTCCTCTCCAGCCGCCGCCCAACTTCTCCTCTAGATCTGGCCGCGTTTCCGGCGCCGGTCTGAGGAAGCCACCGGCGCCGGCCCTCCTCTGGTGTCTCTCTTGTTCCCTCTCGTTTTCTCCTTCAGGTCTGGTTTCCGTCGGTGTTGGTGTTTCGGTGGAGTGAAGGCTTGCGTCGGTGGCTCCTCGCACGACGGTGGCGCAGATTCAGCGGCGTCGCTAGACTCTGCGGTGGAGGAAGGAAGCCTTCTCTCGTGGTGGGTTTCTTCTCCTCGTCCGCCTTGTTTTCCTCTTGGCGTTTCCTCTCTCTCCCTCGGTGGCCGGCGTTTTTTTCCTTCCGACGGTTTCTCGGCTCTCCTCTATGAGTCCTCGTGACCGGCGGCGTGGACTCTGACTTTTCTCGGTGGTGGAGTGGTGGCTGGCTTCGCCTCCTCCCGATTTAAGACCCTCCAAAGCCTCGTGGTGTTTGTCTTTTTTTTTTCTGAGGCAGCGGAGTGGTGGCGTTTGTAGATCGGTCTTCCTTGATTCCGGCGGCGGTGCTTTTGAACCTTGAGGACGGGTTCATTCTCCGGCAAAGGTGTCGCGGCAGTTCTGATCTAGTGGCTGGTCTCAGAGGGGTGGCCCTCGCTTGTTCTGGTTTGCGCAGCTCCACCGGCGGTGTCCTTTGCGGTGGTTTTGACGGGTGGCTCGGCAGATGCTCTCTCTCGTCTCGACGGTGAAGCTCTGGTGCCGTCTTCCATCGGTGTGGCCTTGGTTCATCGGCAGTGTGTGTTTGTCTCCCGGCTTGGATTGGCAGGTTCTCGTTAGGGTTTTTGGTTTTCGGTTAGAGATGGCTCCGACTGTGGTTCGGTGAAGACGGTGGAGCAAATCAGGTGGTGAAATAGAGGCGCCGGTTTGTTGTTACGGCTACCTTGCAATTGTGGGAGTTGGTTCCCTTCGAGACTTCGGTCTGCGGGAATGGTGTTCGGAGGCGACTCTCCGATAGCCCTTGGATTCCCTTGTCGCCAATTGCCAGTTAGTTCATAATGCATTCCGGAGATCTCGTTGTTCTCGGAGAAGCTGTAGGCTTTCTTCTCGGAGGTTTTGAGGACGGGTCTCGGGAGAAAGCTCGTGGCAACAACGATGAGAACTCCAGCTCTTTGAGTTGCAGCAAAACCAAGATGGTCTGCGTTTCTTAGCGTGCGATTGGTGTTTTCTCCATCAGATTTGCTCGGTTTTTAACTTTTTCTCTCTAATGAGATCAATTCCCTTGCGTGTCTGCTGTATTCTTGTCGTTTTCGTTATTTTCTGTAGTTTTAGTTTATCTGTTTTCTTTGTTGTATCTCTGTTTTCTGTAAAAAATTCAAAAATGGTATAAATCTTAACATTTTACCAAAAAAAAAAAAAAACGTGAGGGACGTAATACCACCATCCGAACACTCTCCGCTAATTCCAGTGACATACTCAGACACATGGTTCAGCCTCACCTGCCACATTTTTTTTGTAGATCACTTAGACAGTAATCAAATAATAAGTTTTCATAAGACTAATGAGAGAGACTTTACAATTCGTGTACTAGTGCTGTTGGATGAGCCATGCTTCTTAGACAAGACTAAAGATCCGTTCTTGACGTATCCAAACTGGATTGCTGTTAGATGTCTGTCGTCAAAAGAGACGAATATGAGTGAGATTCTGTCACTGGCCATCTCTTCCCAGGTTTCTCCAAAGTTTTTTCCTAAAGGCCCAAGTTTCATCCTCGCCATGATGTAAAACTCTAATGCTTACAAAGAAGCGAAGAGAGGCATATATAGTGGAGATTATATATTAGAGATTTTCCAAGGACGGAAGAGTCATTGTGGATTCTTAGTTATTTATGTTGATCATGGGGAGCAAGCAAAGAATAAGTCCAAGTATATTTATTAAACCATGGAGAACTGTGCTGAAGAGGACTCTTTGATTTTAGGGAAACCCATTTTACATTTTTTTTTTATTGATGATGGATATACTTTAAAGAGAATAAGTGTTTGTGACATACAAGAAAACTCCACCGAGGGAAATACATTTTACAACTTCGTGAAAAAAGTAATTAAGACGCTATGTGATTCTAGCCATTGGTACTGTTGTGAACACGAATAATGCAAATATGTTACCCACCCAAAATCACATGAACGCTTCGGCAGTACTGCGCTTCGGTTATGCGTATTGCAGTTTGGTCCGGAGATACTAAAAAACTAAAAAACTATTATATAAAAACTCAGTTGAGTCTTACAAGGTTGACATATCAGCTCATATCCTTTTAACACATCAGAATAAATAAAAATATGAGAGAATTAAATAATTAAATTATACTATTTTTTTAATTGAACACAAAAACCAAAACCGAAAGAGAAGTGCATATTAATTTATGGTTCATAATGAACTGCAAATTAATTTCCATTTTGAAAGTTGGAAAGATGGAATCTCAAACAATCTCCAATGCTTTCTAATATCGACTCAAAATTCCACAAGTCCATAGGTAAGATTTTTTATTCTTTGTCTCCTCTTTGATTTATGGACTTTTGAAAGCTGCATTATATCCCTTGTATTGAATTCATTCTGGTTTTGTTTACATAGACATTGTTCTATTTTTGTCAAAGAAGACAAGGAAATGAGCTGTATTGTTTAAGCAAATCAATGACAAAGCTTCAATGTCAGCTCTTGAAATTCTAAATTCTAATGAAATCTATTTTGAATTTTGGTTGAAAGTTTTTTACTTTATTATTCGATGTATGATTTGAAGTTTCAGTTATGATATTAAATATGAGATGGTAGCTATAACTTTTCGTCAAGAAGAGAAGTTTGAGGGTGGAGCTTGAGACAAAAGTGCCATAGATATGTGCAAAAAGTTGATGTCCTTATCCTTTGGTTGCCTGATTGGCTTGTGTCTCATCTGCTTTTCTAGGCTTCAGATCTTCATCTATGATATCTAAGACATGTTTGCAATGGAAGGTAATGCAGAATTTTTTTTAAAAGATTTAATTTTTTAAATAAACATGTAATATGAACTGTGAACAAGACGAGTTTGTAGGATTTAATTTCATTTAATTTCAATACTTGCTCTTTGCTTCCAAGTGCACCAAGTCTCTTGACAAAAACCATCTTCCTGATGTTCTTCCTATTTGTAGTGATTAGACATAAGCTGAAGAAGCATTGATAAAGTCAGTCGGGGATATAGCATTTCAGATTGCTCAATTCATCACAAAAAATAGAGGTTTCGTAAACTACAATATCATATTTTTTCCACTCTCACTCTTTCTGCTTTAATCTTTAACACAAAATATATGCGGAAAAATATCTCTGGATGATGGAAATGCATTAAAAATACGATTTGGTGAAGATATTAAATTTTTCTTACAAAATACATATTTTTAGCATTAAAAATTAACTAACAAAAACAAAAAACAGGTTGAGAAAAATAAGAATAAAGAAATATTTGGTTGGGTGCAAAAATAACAAGTATGTATTACATCTACAAAAAATAATGATTACATTTTTACGACTTCATATGATATTCATATTACCAAATACAAAAAATTAGAATAAACTTATAGAAAAATGTCTATTAATAAATTATATTAAAAAAATCATATTTAGTGACTATATTTTTAAAAATTTGGATAATATTTATATTATCAAAAGTAAAAAATAGGTTAATTTTGTAAAAAAAAAATGTAATTTTATAATGTATATTAAAACAAACAAAACACATGCGTGTACACGGCAGATATTGATCTAGTAAAAATAAACACTCACAAATGTTGCCAAAAAGAAGAAGAAAGAAATAAGTTGACTTATGTCGACGTCTTTAAAGGTCGACAATCCAATCTCTTCATACGTAAATTGTTCGAAGATATCAACTTGCCAACTGTACGGTTTATCTATTTTTCCTTTCAACATCACAATAATTCCATACCTACTAAAAAAGTCACATTTGTTTTTCCAAAAAAAAAAGAGGCTAATCTCTACAATAATTTATCCACGATATTTTATAATAATGTATCCCCATAATTTGGTCGAATTTGGTCTAAAACTATATCTGACTGATTCGTGAAATAGGCTCCTCTCACAGATGTATACGTAATTAATATATCATTACAGTTAAGAGAGATGTATTCCTCTTTTTATGCTTGCTTTAATCGACAAAAAGAGATAAATCAACGTCAAACATACAATTAAAAAAGGTGTTGCTGGTAAAGACTAAATGTAAAAGATACAAAAAAAGTAAGCACTAACCAGCAATAATTAACATTAATTGATACCTTAATCAATGTTAACGATAACAAAGTCAGTCAAATCATATTTTTATGTTATTCCAAACATAATTAGTTTAATTATTTGGCACGGTCTTGGATAATATCGAACCCCATCTCGGTCGGATCAGTGGCTTGAAGCTCATAGTGAATCCCTTCCAAAACTCTTCTTAGCCCGGCTTTTGACGTCGCATATAAAATCTTTGCCCTTATCCTCGAAGCCTCCGGCGACCTAATTCCGATAACAAATGTAAATTACCATTTTACCCTTCAGCTCATGTAATACATGTGTCCACAAACAAAACCGTGAAAACCGATTAATTAAGAGTGGGCATTCGGTTCCCGGTTTGGTTTGTTTTGGATTTTCTACATATTGAAAGATAGGTTTGACATAGAACCGGATTTTGTTTCGGTCCGGTTTGGTTAAGTATGAATTTTTTTTTCATTTTGGATGATAAATCAAACTAAATTAAAAATAAAAATTTAATCATAATTAAGCTTTCTTAATGTTGATTTATTTAAATGTATTTATTGCATATATATACGAATTATTAGTTTAAGTTAATTTCGGTATATGGTTCAGTTAAATATGAATTGGATTTGGTTTGGATTCGGTTCAACCTATGCAGTATAAGAATTTCTCTATTCAGGTGCGATATTGGATTGACAAATTTCGGTTTAATTTAGTTATTTGGGTTCGGTTCGGTTTCTTTCTCCACCTGTAAATCCATTTTGTTGGTAAGACTATTTTTCACAAAGCATTATTTTCTGGCATTGCTATAATGAAATACCTATTCTACCCTTGCTGGTATAAATGAAAAGAAATGCTGGTAACTAGAATTAGAAGGGTATAAATGTTCGAGTTTTGGAAGCTAGGAAGACGACTAACCAGTAAATGAAGAAGATCTTGCTCTTGCGGCAGTTATCGACGGTGACGAAGTCGAAATCAAAGACGGCGTAGCGACAATCGTCCACCGGTAAAGAAGCAGCGAGATCGCTATAGCTTTCTCCGGCGCCGCCGACTTTATCGACGGTGACTTTACGGGAATTCTCTTCGATCTTGAACACGATGTATCTATGCACTTTCTTCCACTTCATCTCCAAGAACGAGCTCGTACACTCCTCCGTCACATGCATCCCCGTCGTCGCCTGAGATGGTGATCATCGGAAAAATTCAATTTCAAAATCAGATCAAGAATGTTCAAGAAGAGGAAAAGAAAAATTTATATATATTCTCTTACCATCTTGAAAGCCATCGCCATTGTTGCTTTAGATTCTTCTTCTGTCTCTTTCCTTTTTTTGTTTTTTGGGCGTGGAGAGCTTTTTTTATTCCGTTAAAATGGTATGACTTTGAGGTCTTTATATAAAGTTATGCCAAAACAAATGCGATCATTACGTTTTGTTATTACGAAATTACCCATGGTCCTGATCGTCAACTTTTCATTAGTGGTGAATAATTTTTCTTGTGGGCGTAATTAAAGTTACTTTATTCTGCACTAAGTCTTTGTCCACAAACAAAAAAAAAAACTTCTGCACTAAGAATTTATTTTGTTTTCTAAACGTTTACATTTGTATACCAAAAGGCAAAAAGTTTCTCGTTCATACTAAGTGTGTATTTAAACAAACCAAAAAAATTAATTATTGATGTAAAATAAATAAAGAAATTGATGTATGAAATCATTATTTAACCCTTACATAGTTAAGGAGTTTTTGAAACTCACAAGTTTGACTATATTCATCAGAAAATATGATTTATGCTTTGAACAGGATACTTTTTTTTAATGGCTGGTCCTTGAAATTGAAGGAAGATATTGCAGGCTAACGAAATTTTCAATCTTTCTTTTTATTAAAAAAAAAACTAAGGTTACAAATGTTAGGAGTTTCAAAGATTTGGTGTTAAGAAAAAAGTTTTGAATATGTTTTTTTATTATGCATGTGAAAGAATACATTTTATGCAAGTTTTGAATGTATTCTTTCACATGCATAATAAAAAAAAAACATATTCGAAATTTTTTTCTTAACACCAAATCTTTGATTAATGCATCTTAGATTACTCATATATGATATTCGGTGCAAAACATTCATTCTTCAAAGCCACACATTCGAAAACATTCTCGTCGGTAGTATCTTCACCACTATGCTTATTGGGTGCTACAACGACTAAACATATTATGGTAATAGAAAGAAACAAAAAGTATAGGTATCAGAGAAATGGGCCAATGCTAATATGCATTATTCATATACACAAAACTAAATTGTGACGCTAGGAGTGGAGAGGGTGGTCCCAAAGAATAGTAGTGGATCTCCAAGTAACTCAACACCCACAATTTCATCGATCTCTGCAATTTCGTGTTACTCAAAACTAAAGTGAGCCTTTACGTGTAAGGTAAGAATGAGATTATAGATTTCATACTATTCTATTTTTGTTTTTGTTGTAAATCAAGCTAAAGAAAGCAATAATTTAAGAGAAAGAAATCGCAAATTGAGGCAAACACATGTTTATGGTTTTCTTATTAATTGTTTGAATAAATAATTACAAAATATAAGTCTTGTATTTATATTCCCAAAAATCCGACTCTCAAATCCACTAGATAAAAGAAAATATAAATCAAGCCCAATAAAAAAATCGTTACATTCCTCAGCTCGCTTTAGTAGGACCACTTTAGAATATTTTGTCACTTAGAAACAACAGTTTTTGTTAATTTTTCTTCATATATTAGAAATATAGCTTATTTATTGACAATAACACTATAATTCAGGTTTCAACACTACGACGAATGGTGTTCTCAACCAAATATCTGAAGTGATTTTTGTTAAAATGACAAATCATATATTTGTTATTTAATTATAATTTTTAACAAAACTCTAAAAATTTAGTGTTATTGATTAAAAAAATTATAAATGTTTTTGAAAATCTAATCATGTTATTGAATTAGTGATTTTAAAGAATACATTCAAATTTGCCGTTGTTGGAAATATTTTAAATATTAGAATTTTAGTGATATTAAAGATTTTGGAGAAATCTATCCATTATATTAAAACAGAAGCATTTTTAGTGTTTGTTTCCAAACACTCCCAATTTTTTAAAAAAAAATATTTGTTGGAAACAATTTTAATATTGATCAAATTTAATCTAATTTAAATAAAAAACCTTTTATTTTTTATTTATATTTTATTCCAAAGATTAGTTATTAATTTAGATATTTTTAGATTTCTTTAAATATAGATCAAATTTAATTTCAATTATTCAAAAAATTTTAATAATTAAATTTAATTACAGAAATTTGGATTTAATTTAATTTTAAAATTCAAAAAATTCAGAAAATTATAATTAAATTTATTACAAAAATTTTAGATAATAATTTGAATAATTTTAGAATTCCTTAAATACTAGTTAGATTTTAATTTAAAATTTGAATTTAAACAATATTTTCATAATAGAACAAATGGTAAACGAATATCTTATTAAATTTTATCATAATCAATCGGTCTAAAATATCAAATATTTAAAATTAATAAATATTTATGTTATACAATAATATCATGAAGCTGATTAGGGTTAGAGTAATTGCACAATCTACCAACAGAAAGTTTGGAAATTAAGCCACAGAAAATTGGTACTGTACTATCATTCTGTTCACAATAGAAAGACAATTGAATCCCTATAATGAGTTTTTCGAATTCGCTGATAGAATATGTTAAAGAAATAGATGGGTCCCAATCAGTCAAGTTGTGTGTGTGTCAGTAGATCCGACAACAATATCTAAGTTTTTTGAAAAAGATTATTTAATTATTTTAGGGAGAGGAAAAAAAAAACAGAGATTAAGGTTTCTGACAAAAACCACCATTTGATATCGGTTATCTCTACAACTCAAAAGAGTTTCCAAATTTCGTTTTCGACGGCGAGCGACAATCTGGTGCATGATATCATTATTTTTTTGAAGAAATCCGAAGTTTCTATTTGCAAACAAGGTAAATATGAGTTCTGTTTTCAATTTTCCGAGTTATCTGTTCTAGGTTAGTGGCATCTGATTTAAGGTAGCTAGTGTCATATATATGCAGATGTCTGATAATGAGTTACCCAAGAGGATAATAGCCACTAGAGCTGAACCTTTGGGCTAGAGGGTTATTACATATCAGAAATTCAGCATTATACAAGCATCGTTCATGGTTTAGCCGCTCCAAGCATCGTTCATGGTTTAGGCTAACTATATATATTTGTTAACATAGTTAACACTTACCCATTAGTGTCCCGTCTTCGCAGTTGGCAGTCGTACCATCCCCGGTCTCCACGTACCCAGCATTTGTAGAGTAGCATTCGCCATTATCCGGCTAACAAAGTTATCTGGACATAATGTTATTTGAACATACTTCATTCTTCATTCGATCGTTCTTCGTCTGATCATTATATATTTCCTAACATATAAACTTACCTGCAGTATTTAGCCAATCAACTTTGAAAGTTGCCTATAAATCAGAGTTATCTGTCAACATATCCGCTAATTTAGTTACACCGATAATAAGATATTAGTTGATAACTTTAAAAGCAAACTGAATCTCATCCTTCCTATGATTATTTTGCCCGTTGAACTGGCCACCGTTACTAGGTTACCTGAATACATCAACACTACCAACCTCTTTTAAAAAAAAATATATATATATGTTATATCTACCAACGAACATATTTAGTAAAATAACAAGTTATCAGTTACCTGTTACCTTTACAAGGTATGAACGGCGAAAGATTTTCTTACAATATCTCAATTGTATTTTTTATATCTTGTCCCCTGAACTGTATAAGCATTAAATGTTCTCTGCAGAATTTGTTTTATTCAGTTGTAGGGGTAAACTTGTCTACAACGAAATAATATTATTGTATTTCCTTCATTTATAAACTTTGCTTCCCATTTCCTTAATAAATTAATCATCCGTTGGTATTCAGCCACTTAAATCTTAGGGTTATGTATTTATACTTAAAGTCTTATACGGATTAGTTTGTCAAAACATGTAAGATATTAAATATGATTTGAGGCAACTAAACAGACAAGTTAGTTAATTCATATATATATATATATATATATAAATTGTTTATGTATAAATCTAAATTCACATATTAACAAAGTTCATAATTAACATTAGATCAATATATACTTAACTAACGCATACTCTTATTCTACTAATATATAAATCTATACTATTTAAAGTTAAAACATTAACAAAATTTTTGATTTTAGAAAATAATATAAAGAAATTATATCTAAAAATACATAAATAAAAAATTAGAAATAAATAACAAAAAATTCTCGTGCAGACACAGGGTTAGAATCTAGTTTCTTAGTTAAAAATTCAATTTGAATCTCATGGCTGTATGAGATTGTAGAGAATATAAATAACAAATCATAATAACTTTCCAAAAATTCATCCAAATTATCAAAATCACCTAAAAACTTACTAAAACTTCAAATCTTTGGTTGAAATGTTGAATACACCCGTGTTGACGTGAAGAAAACAAAAAAAAACAAACACTTCACGTTAATACTTTAAATATCTGTCTTTTTTTCTCGAATTTGGAACTTTCACCGTGGAACTTAAGCCGTCTGAAAAGTTGATTCGAGTCAATGCCCTATCACTTTTGCTGTGTAAGGTAACTGGTAAATAGTGGCTATACTGATGAAGGTCTACTTTTGGATCACAGTATCTAAATATTATCTTTAATCGATCTTCTTTGATTGTATTGTACAATTCTCTCCCTTGAATCCTATGCTAATCAGAATTAATATATTATAAATTTTATAGACACCATTTCAAGATCTGTTGGTATGTATCAGATATCTGATCTTGATTGGATAATGAGTCCATAGAATACAACCCAAAGATACGGCAAAGATCATACACAATTCCAAGATTTTAATTTGTAATCCTGAAACTGTTCGAGTCTTCCCATGAAATGGTCCACTACATGTATGGTACGGTACATTGGTAAAACTTGAGCAACTTCACAACACTTGTATTATTCCATATATATATATATAGATATATATATATATAGATATATATGCGTTTTCTTTTAAAAATTATATACATAAAAGTAGATATCATTTAGGACTATGAGTATGCAAGTGTGCGTGCAGGCTCACCTAATGTTCGGGGCAATGAAAGTACTATACATGGGGACGTAAAAGATCATTCCAAAATACCAAACACTAAAATCTAACCTTAGGTGAGAAAAAAATATATGGCCATGTGAGGTTTACAGAGTACATATATGTTTTTTTTTTTTTCCTTTCTTTTACTTGATTACTTTGAAAAAATAACACACAAAAAATT